AATGGTCATTGTTCATGGGAAATATCATGATTAACCAGTGGATTTGGTGTATACCTAAATTTTCGGAGCACCGCCAATTTTAGGGGCAACCCCAAGAATCATATTGCTATTCCAACATAAGTTATATAATGTTGTGTGGACATAGATATATATATATATATAGTATCCACATTTTTAATACCCACATTTTGTGCATTAATAACCTACCTATCTATCTATCTGTCTGTCTATCTATCTAATCTAATCTAATCTGATCTGATCTGATCTATATAATCTAATCTAATCTAATCTAATCCAATCCAATCTAATCTATCTATCTATCTATAAACATACACACATCTATATAATAATCACTTTGACTATAGCAAAAAATATCTATATATCTGTAATCTCTACAATCTCTCTCTATATATAGATATATACAGTACTCACAAATTACTAATACCGATATCTGGATCTATATCTATAGCTATATGGCTATATATCTATTTAAACCGCGTGCGTGTTCCGCCGGCCACCACGGCCAGGAGCTAGTTGGGGTTTCCAAACCTTTTAAGCAGAGACATGAATAGGAGAGAAATAAAGTGCAAGTGCATGCAGTTTAAGCGGTAGCAGCAGTCAGGATAGCGGTGCAGATTTGGGGCATGGACGCAACTTGAAAAGATTTTGTGTCTCAACTGTATAGCAGAGGCCAGAGACATAGGAGGAGATAAAGTGCAAGTGCGTGCAGCTCAGAATAGCAGCAGCAAGGCTAGAAGGGCGAAGCAAGAACATGATTTTTCTAGATGTTTGTGTAAAACATGCTGTTTCTGTGAAACACTTACAACACGTCTTTTTCTGTGAATCAGCGTTTTGTTTAGTAGGAAGATGCGCTTTTACGCACAGCATGGTGTTTGCGTAAACCAGGGTTTGAATTTAAACCGAAGCAGTGTGTGAACCAAGGTTTTTGGAAAAGGCCATACATAGAAAGGTTGCCCGTGTAAATGGTGTTCTGCACAAAAGAAAGTGGATTCACAGGCCATCTGTATGAGGTATAGGAACGTAGAAAGTGTATGAATGACAGAGCAGACCGATCGCGAGCACCACGATGGAAATGGGAACAAAAAAGAACATGCGCATGTTGCGCGAGGCGCGGGCAGAGTCGAACCCAGCACATTGCAACGAAAGACGCAGAGGAAAAACACGAAGAGGAGACACAAAACATGGGTTTTGCGTGAACCGGGGTTGGAGTTGAAACCGAATTATGTCTGCAAACAAAGGTTGAAACGAAAGATGAAAAGCACGACGCGGATGATGAAGCGGGGGAGGGGGGTGGGTTCAAGTTAGACGAGGCAAAAATCCGCGCCAAGGGGAAAGTCTAGACAAAGACCAAAGGCAAAACAAACAGTACAACTACGAACAAGCAAGATCCACAAGACACGCCGGCAGGCCGGCGGATTTCTATTTTCATATAAACATGATATACCCACTATATATCCCCCAAAGATGCTGGGGTTCATAACATCTCCCCACTTTCCCGCCGCAAAAGTCATCCGTCGCTTCGAGGCTCGGGTGAAAAGCAGCAGCTCTACCTGGACGGCGCAGGGCTGCGACGCTTTCCCGTGGAAGCGGTGATCGCCAGCTTCAGGGACGTGCCAATGAAGCACGACAGGCCGTTGTGGTGTTTCTGTTCTGGCAGATGGGTACGGGTTAAAACCTATGGGCCTAATATTTTTTGGGATGAACAACCAACCAGTTACCACCTTTTTTTGCGGTTCACCAGGGCACCAGGGTTTTGACCAATAGCCAATAGCCGTCAATAGCCAGATGGGAATGGGTCAAAAGTCATAAAATCTGTAAAAGCAACCTGAAAAAGCATTGAAACTGCACATACTTTTTCCCAAACTCCGATGCTTGGGTTCTCGTTTAGTTGACTTTGCCGCGAGGGGAGCGATACGGAAGCGACGAGAGGGTGGACGGAGGGGAAACCGAAATGCGGAGCTGTTGGCACGGGTTTTACACAGAGCAGCTTGTACACAGAGGAGCTTTACACAGAGGAGCTTTAGACGGAGGATCTCTTACACAGAGAAGCTTGTACACAGGGAGGACTTTACACACAGAATCTTTTACACAGAGAAATTTTTACACAGGAACGGTTTTACACACAGAAGCTTTTACACAGAGAAGTCTTTATACTGAGTAGTCTTGACACAAAGAAGCTTGCAGACACGGAGGCTTTTACACAGAGAAGCCTTTTACACAGAGCAGCTTTTTCACAGGGGAGCTTTTGCACGGAAAAGCTTGTACACACAGAGGCTTTGACACAGAGAAGTCTTTGCACAGAGGAGCTTTTACACAGAGACGCTTGTGCACACAGAGGAGCTTTTACACACAGACACTTTTACACAAAGACACTTTTACACAGAGCAGCTTTTACACACAGAAACGTTTACGCATAGAGGAGCTTTACACACGGATGCTTTTAAACACAGAAGCTTTTACACGGGAAAGCCTTTACACAGAGAAGCTCTTACACAGAAGATTTTGCACAAAAAAGCGCTTACACATAAACTTTTGCACGCAGAAGCTTTTACACACAGACGCGTTTACGCAGGAGTGTTTACACACGGATGAGTTTACACACAGAAGCCTCCACGCACAGAAGCTTTTGCGCAGAGTAGCTTTTACACAGAGAAGTCTTTGCACAGAGAAGTCTTGACGCAGACAAGCTTGTACACACGGGGGCTTTTTACAGAGAGAAGTCTTTTACACAGAGAAGTCTTTACACAGAGGAGCTTTTACAGAGAGAAGTCCTTCTTACACAAAGGAGATTTACACACAGACACTTTTACACACAGAGGCGTTTACACAAAAAAGCCTTTACACAGAAAAAGTTTTTACACACAGAGGCTTTTGCACAAGGAAGCTTTTACACAGGAAAGCTGTTACACACAGAAACTTTCACACACAGAAGCTTTTTACACCGAGAAGTCTCACACAGAGGAGCTTTTATGCACAGACGGGTTTGCACAGAGAAGTCTTTACACAGAGGAGTTTTTGCACACAAAGTTTTTACACACAAAAAGCGTTTACGCGCAGAGGAGCTTTACACACAGAAGCTTTTACGCGCAGAAGCTTCTGCACGGGAAAGGGTTTACACAGAGAAGCTCTTAGACACCGAAGCTTTTACACTCAGAAGTTTTTACACAAAAAAGCCTTTACACAGAAACTTTTACACAGAAACTTTGCGACACAGACGCGTTTGCACAGAGGAGTCTTGACACAAGAACGCGTTTACACACAGAAGCTTTTACGCACAGAAGCTTTTTTGCACAGAGTAGCTTTTACACAGAGAAGTCTTTACGCAGAGAAGTCTTGACACAGAGAAGCCTGTACACACAGAGGCTTTTACAGAGAGAAGCCTTTTATACAGAGAAGTCTTGACACAGAGGAGCTTTTACACAGAGGAGCCCTTACACAAAGGAGATTTACACACAGAAGCTTTTACACAGACACGTTTACACACAGGGAGTTTTACACACAGAATCAGAAGCGTTTACGGCGCACTGAAACTTTTACACAGAGCAGCTTTTACACACAGAGCTTTTACACAAAAAAGCCTTCACACAGAGAAGTTTTTACACACAGGAGCTTTTGCACAAGGAAACTTTTACACAGGAAAGTTTTTACACACAGAAACTTTCACACACAGAAGCTTTTTACACCGAGAAGTCTCACACAGAGGAGCTTTTACGCACAGACGCGTTTACACAGAAACGCCTTTACACTGAGGAGCTTTTGCACACAGAAGCCTTTTACGCACAGAACCGTTTGCACAGAGTATCTTTTACACAGAGAAGCCTTACACAGAGAAGCTTTTCCGCACAAACGCGTTTACACAGAGAAGCCTTTACACACAGGAGCTTTTACGCACAGACGCGTTTACACAGAGAAGTCTTTACACAGAGGAGCTTTTGCGCACAGAATCTTGTACACACAGACGCGTTCACACACAGAAGGTTTTACAAACAGACAACTTTACGGCGCACAGAACTTTTACATAGAGCAGCTTTTACGCAGCGAAGCTTGTACACACAGGGGAGCTTTTCTGGACAGAAGCTTTTGCACAAAGAATTTTTTATACACAGAAGCTGCTACACACAGAAACTTTCACCCATAGAAGCTTTTACTAAAAAAACCTTTACACAGAGGAACTTTTACACACAGACGGGTTTACACAGAGAAATCTTTACACAAAGAAGTCTTGACACAGAGGAGCTTGCACACACACACACACAGAGGCTTTTACACAGAGAAGCCTTTTACACAGAGCAGCTTTTCACAGAGGAGCTTTTACACAGAGGAACTTTTAGACAGAGAAGCTTGTACACTCAGAGGCTTTGACGCAGAGAAGCCTTTTACACAGAGCAGCTTTTTCACAGAGGAGCTTTTATACAGAGGAACTTCTACACAGAGAAGCTTTTACACACAGAGGATTTTACACAAAAAAACCTTAACACAGAGCTGGTACGCGAAGAAACTTTTACAAACAGAAACTTTTACACACAGAGGACGTTTTACACAGAAGCTTTTACACACAGAAGTTTCTCCACAAAAAAACTTTTACACAGAGAAGTTTTTACCCACAGAAACTTTTGTATACAGAAGCTTTTATGCAAAGAAACTTTTACACACAGAAGCTTTTACACACAGAAGTGTTTTCACAGAAAAACATTTACACAGAAGAACTTTTACACAAAGAAACTTTTACTCACAGACGCGTTTACACACAGTAGCTTTTACGCATAGAAGCTTTTGTACAGAGAAGTCTTGACCCATTTTTCATCATGTTTCATTTTTCATGATCACTCACTATCTGTCATCTTCATATCTTCGTATTCATGCTCTTTTGGTCAACTCCCTCCGTCATTTGGTTTTTATTTCGCACGGTGTTCTGTCCGTCCACGCTTCGTCCTCGCTCCCCCTGCGGCGAAACAAACTAAACGCATAATAAATAACAACTAGAAAGATGGGATAGAGTTAATTACTTTCGCAGAAATAGTGACTAGAAGAATGTAGACGTAGCTGACGCAGCACGCTGTGGTGAATTGCGGCTCCTGATGCCATCAGCGTGCACGATGTTTCAGTAAAGATCTCACGTCGATTTCGCGCAGAGCACAGCTGCCCGCACCACAATATTTTAAAAAAAATGTGCTGTGCGCCGTCTTGCTTTTGGGTTACCAGGGTGATGCAGCCAGAGTCCCTGAGATCCAACGTGCCTATCGCAGGTTGCAGCGATTCTTCCCCAAGGACTTCGTATCTCCTGAAGGAGGCGAAAACGCACAGTCGAATACCTTGAGGTTCGCTGACCAGGTGTCGGGACGTTGGCTTTATGGCGCTTCATACTTAAAACATCTTAAAACTGGGTTTCACACTTGAGTCTCAGCAACTTGTTGACTCCTTCCCTTGCTGGAAACGATCAGTTTCTCTCTCAAAGTCGCAGTGCCGAGAAACTCCAATGTTGAAATTGGCTGTGACAAGGTCTTTCTTTCTCTTCAGCCAGTCCGTTGGTCCGGTGCCTTAGAACATCTTGGAACCGTCACGATCAACACATTGCACTCAGAGTGCCCAGTCAACTGAACCTCGGCCATGACAGAGCAATCAAACCCTTCGGCTGAAGGCACAGATGGCTACTTCAGCAGCAATGCGGCCTGCACCCCAGGGACTGCGCCATATTTTTCCAGCAAACAGAGTCGGGAATCTTGTGATTATTGATTTACAGAGTCTTAAAAAAGGGTCTCATATCAGGAGAGGACACTAGAAAGGTCCAATGTGTTTGTTTCCAGGAAAATCTGCAGGAAACTACGTATGTTTTTCCATGTTTTGCCCATAAACCTGGGGGGCAGGGTTCGGTTCCTGTAGATTTTCCTTTAAGCCAACCCAATGAACCGTGCCTTGTGCGGTTTCAGGCAGCTCTAGCGGCCAGGGAAAAGTTCTTTGGCGGGGACCGGAGTTCACCTTTTAGACGTCAAGTTGCATGGGTTACTTCAAGGGGATGGTCATCAATCGATTACTGTGGGTTGATAGGGGTTAATATTGTTTATTAATGTCTATTAATGTTTATGAATGTTTATTATAACATAACCATTATCTTTGGAATTTCTAATCATGATGGGGTGAGCCATAACACCATCAAGCAGCATGTTTGCAGGGAAAAACAGTTCCCTCTTCAAAACACCATCACTCTCGTTTGGCATTTGTCTAGACGGTTGAGTTCATGAGGTACTGTTGGTTACTCTCTTACTACTTGTACAGGTGACATTGGGAGCCAGACGTCACTTCATCTCTGATCGGCACATGGCTCACGTGTTGACTCGATTTGACTCGTGTCACATCACAGGGTGTTGTACAGCTTGAAACATAGAGACATTTGCAGCGATTGCAATTGTTGGCAGGACCTGCACGGGCTTTTGAACACACATCAAAAGGATCTCCAGGAGAGACACTGGCAGTCACTGGCACTTTTAGGGAACTAGATCTAAAGAGGAGGTCCTTTGCAATGCTGGATTGAGGAGCTTGGAATCCGTGTCTTCTACACCTCAGCGCAGCTGGAACGGAGCTTACCCATCTAACATTCTGCGGGTTCTGCGGGTTGGTTCTTGTGACGACAAACTGTTCTGAGCAGCGCAGACGCCAGCTTCAAATTTCAAAAGACAACGGGCTTAATTTGCGCAGAGGATGAAGCGGACATCTTCAGCGCGCTGTTTTCCGATGTTCTTCTATCTCTCATAGGCAAGTGGACAGACTTCGAAAGTGGGAGTCCTTCAACAGACAGACGAGGACTAAATACTTGTTCAAAATTGTCTAAGTACTTGTTCAAAATTGTCTAATACAATTTTTCTTGAAAGGCCTTGCTGTGATCTTCCTTTTGGTTTGTGTGCATACCGGGAGTCTATGGTTGGTGCCTCAGGAGAGTTTTTTGCATCTAGATTTCTGCTCTAAGGCAATGTGACATAGGATCTGTACCTACAACTACCATCTTTAGATATGTTAGGTAGATGGACATCCATTTACTTGCACCTGCTACCTTCATGTTCACCAGGGCGGTTCCCGTATGAGCAGTGTTCAAAACCACTGTTGCCTGATCCTTTCGGAGGAAGAATACCCTTTAAATCCCTTTAATGTATCCTAAATTATCCTAATCCATATTAAGCAATCAGATGCAATCAGTATAACCCTTACTGGGCTCGATGAAGTGGGGGATCCAATGAATCATATTGAATCATACCACCAGCCATGACCTGGGACATCCTGGGACTGTTCTGGCCAACCAAGTTTGGCCTGCGCTGGCTCGCTCTTGGTGCTCGAGTCATCACCTCAATGGGGGTCCTGAGCATGGGAGATTTACATAGATTTACCATCCAATTTATGGCATTTTATGATATATATATATATGTATATATATATATGTTTATTGCCATTTCATAGGGAAACTAAACCAGTGGATCTACTTGGATTTACGGGACCGTATTTGGTCAGACATGATTTTTCTCCGCTCGACAGGTGCATGCCTCTGGGATACGTGTTCTACCGGCAGTTCTCTGGCCTGCCAGTGGAAGCCACAGCTTGGGACATGGGGTGTATCTGCCAACGACAACATGCTACCCATTGCTACCCTGAATACACTGCTTAGCTTTGTTAAGTGAAGGGTGGCAAAAGCTCCGCAACTTTTGGGCGAGTAACTAGTGCGTGAACTTTCTCATGTTACTGCGAATCTCGCCAACAACTTTACTGCGAGTCCAGCCCTTCAATGCACGTCACTGTGGTCATATGTTCAGTACAAAACGCCGATCTCTGAGAAAATGAGCATCGTGAACTGCGTGGCGACCTTTGTGATCATCGGCATCGGCACCTTGGGCTGCAGGGCTCGTCTCATCAAGCATTCTTGACCCAAAGGCAAGAAGATGCAAGAAGGGAAAAACGTGAACAAAAACAATCTGAAATTTGATGATGATCATTGGTGCCCCCTGTACAGTATTGTCAATTGCAGTGCTGTAGTTGTCCTTGTCCGTCGGGCGAGGCTCTGACATGATCTTTGTGCTCACGGATGCCTGGCGACAGTCAGCCTTCATTCTGCCGCATTCCCAAGAGGAGGTTCGCAAGGTGGGGAGTCAGTCCAGCGCTAGGAACGAGGAACGATGGGATTGCAGGGATGCAGGTATTTGACGGAATTCTAATTGTGGATTGTGCAGCATTACAGCAGGCTTGATCCTACAAGCCATGTTCGATTTTTTGCACAGAGGGATCCAGATTATGTTGCAGGAGTTTGCTGGTGTTCCCAAAGCATTCCAAGTTGGCTTTCAGTTCATCATTTCCCCGATTTGGTTGAAGGGGAAATTTGCAGGAAAACCCATGAAAACCATGTATATATAATATATACTCACCGGTAAAAACTGTGGTTTCCTGTAGATTTTCTCAAAACCAACCCATTGAAAAAATTGGCAGTAGGATTGGCCGTTGATTTTGCCAGGATGGTGAGGAGGAAGAAGAACTTGATCGCTTTGAGCGGGCCATGCGGTCCTATGAGAGGCACACATCATTGATTTCCGACAGTTCATATATATATATATATGTTAATATGATTTCTCACCTTTTTATCGGGGCACAGAATGTCTTTGGGCTGCCGGGCTGCTGGAACTGCCCTTCTGCTGTTGATGTCACAGGAACCTGGAGAAGCGACTAGCTTGGGTGACACACTTGGGTGTGAATTGGTCGATACCCAATGCTGGGGTAGCAATTAGCATGGCATGAAGCCATGCTTGATCAATGCAAACAGTGTGCTATAGTGTGCTGCACTCTCCAAAAAGTCCAGATGAAAATAAGACTATGGCCACCAGGGATGGGTTCATGGTGTTCAGAGCCTGAACTGGGGTTGTTTTGATGAAGCGAGAGGCCTTCCAGAACTACGTCTATCATTTTCATTTATCATTATCTAATGCTGTCGTGGAGGGAGGCTTGGGTTGTAAGGTCTACCGCAACGCGGGTGTGTCATGCTTGACTACGGGTCTTTGTGGTGCAAGCAAGGATCTGAGATCTACAGCCAGTTGCAAATATTGGGTGGTTGGATTGATGCAAGGGAAAAGCTACCGGGTTTCTGCAATTTTTTCCTTAAGCGCGTTAAGCGAATCCAGTGTTTCTGGGTCCGGTCAATTCCGGTCATGTCATCGTTGTTGCCTTTGGATGCCTTTGGTGCCTGAGACAATTGAGGCAGTTTCCTGGTGAACCTCATGAGTGTGTTGATGCCACTTCGTGAGTTTGGACTCTTCATGGGTTTGTGCTGGGAGCCCGGCTGTTGTAACCGCTTTCGTTGGGTCACTTTTCTCCAGAAGCATGACAGCTGCGAGGCTGTATTTTTGCTGTTCTGGGCGAAATTGCTGGAAGCTCAGATACTTTTAGACTTCGGGTACGGTAGAATGACGACATATAACGACATACGACATACGACGATGACGATGATTCGAGGGGCACTTGACATCAAGGTCATGTATCCCATGGCGCTGGTCGCGCGAGAGCGGTGGAAGTTCAAGAAAGTTCTTGCTCAACAGGCGGGACCTTTGCAATGTGCCAAGATGGCGTGCTTCCCAAAATCGACAAACTCCACAAACCCACCATTTGTTGCTTCATTTGAGGTTTGCCAACATCGAGTGTGCTCCAGTAGTCATATACCATTCCATCATATACCAACCTTGAGACTGACCGAGGAGCGAGAGCTTGAAGGAAATTCTGCTATGACTGGCGTGGTGGTGACCCAGTCGTTGGAACATGTTGAACCCCATAGATGTTTGATGTTCAAATGTTCAAATGGGAGATTTAATGGGATGGGCTTCTCCATGCAGCAATGTGCTGTATCCTTTTGTAAGTTCAGCAACGGAGGTTCAGGCTGCGTTTCTTGGCAGGTACCTGCCCAAGCCCATGTAGTGCCTATTGAAGCGGTTTTTGCCTCAGACACCACCATTTTGGAGAAACTGTGCAAAGTGCACAATATGTACATCCACTCTGTAGTTTTTGGTGGAAGTTCATCACCCTAGACACTATCAACATTATGATACATTCTCAACCAGTGGCATGCAGTGAGGCTGACAACCGCGCAGACAAGTCCAAAACCAGGACCAGAACACGGGATGCAGTCAGCTGCTCTTGGTAGTTGAGGAAAATAACTAGCAACTAGTCGGGTAATGTTGGGTATGGCTGGGTCAATCTTTCACCAATTTTGACCCATGCGCAGTTGAATAAAGCTGTTTGCCGTTTGGGCTGTTTGTGTCTAGAGAGAGAGAGAGAGAGAGCGTACAAACACCTAGAAGGCAAATCACCAAAAAACACGGACATCACGCCCGTTGCTATCAAGTTTGGTGTCAGGAGCATTCTTGTCCGCTTTTTTGCCGGCTTCTGGCGTGTTTCTCAGCTGTGCTACAACTACTTTACATGATTTTGAGCTTCAATGTCTCGTCGGAGGGGAGCACACACGGATTTCTTGAAAGTTCTGGTCGCAGATCTTCTCCAATGGCCAGTTGATGCATGTTGATGCAGTCCTAAGGCCAGAATTCATCATGAACTACAAGCTGTGGGTGACAGCCTCAGCTGGGCTGGCCATCGGCGCTGCGATGCTATGGTCACGGCAGCTGCGATGTTTTCGTCAGGTCATTGCAGGGTTTGTCGTGTTGGCCCTGGCCAGTGTTGTTTTTGCCTCAGCGCCATGGATGTTTGCTTGATGTTGGTGCCGGCAACCACCAACATATGTAACATATGTAACATATGTAACATGTAACATATGCCTTTGTCTGAAAATGGTGCACAGTCTGACACTGCATAACTTCAAAATACTTGTAGATCAAAATAGATCAAACTGGTGATTTTTAGCAAGTTTAACAGGACAAACGGACAAATGATGATAAACGACCATTTTGTTGTGCAACTATTTTAAGACTGGCCCATACTGTATATTCAATCGATGTGAATCCTCACAATTTGGGACCAAGACCGAGCAATTTGTGTTGCATGGCCAATGAGGTTGGGGTTCCCCTCGGCTTGAAGGCCTGCAGTTGAGATGTGGGAGGAACGGATGAGAAGTGCTGAGAGTCGTCATTCCGCAGATTTTTGCAGCATCGTATCCTACTGAAGTTGTGGTCAGGTGGATGGCTCCACACCCGTCATCTTTCCATCAAGCTGGTAACACAGAGGGTTCTCGCATCCCCATTTTTGATGTCGAATACGAGGTAAAACCTCCATTTTGGATCAAAGCTCCATTTTGGATGTTCTTTCCGGAGAGTTGCTGTTGACCGAGCTTGACTACTTGGCTAGACTGAGGTCACAACCAAGTCCTGGGGGAAGAAATTCTGAAGGGGTTTGAGGTAGTTGTTCCTTGGCCAAAATCCAGCTTTTGTCAGAAGTGGCTTTCCTGTGATGTGGGCTTGGCAGTGGTTAGATACAATCTATTTCTTCTCAGTCCAGGCATGTGACATACGGTGACAGAACAGCTTGCTTGATGCAGTCAAGCTGAATAGCTGAAGCATTGACATCCTCAAGTGTTTTGTGGAAATGTGTTGAAGTGTAGGCATAGGATTCCGTTCGCAGTTGACCACCTGGTGATTTTTAAGTTAGTGCTGATGTTAAAGTAGCCGTCATGTGCTGCTCTGTGCCCTTTACCAAAGGATCCTTTGGCAGCAACTGCAGCGTTGGAACAGGCACGGAATCAAGGGAGATAGGATAGTGGCAACGCATTCTGATGTTTCATGTTCCCCCATTCCACGGTCCCAAATATGTGATTTCATGTGATTTCATGCCCTACTATACCATGGCTATTTCATGTGATTTCATGGTATTTCTGATGCAGGCGTATATTTGTGATGCAGCAGCATCTCCACTGGCCATGAACAATGACATGATTGTTGGCCGCTGGGCATCGACTCCGACTGGGCAGCAAACTGGTACCCTGTTGGTCCTGTTGCCAACTTTGGACTTCTGAGCCTTGTTTTATTTTTACAGGTGTTCTGGGAGCTATGTGGAGCTCTCCAGATTTGATAATTTTAAGGATTTTCTGGGGTATGGAACATAATATATATAATATTATAATATTATAATATATATATATAATATATAAAATTATATATTATATATTATATATTATATATTATATATTATATATTATATATATTGTATATTATATATTATATATTATATATTATATATTATATATTGTATATTCTATATTATATATTATATTTTGTATATTATATATTATATATTATATTATATATATAATATTATATATTATATATTATATATCATATATTATATATCATATATTATATCTTATATATTATATATTATATATTTTATATTTTATATTATATAATATATATAATATATATATATATTATTATATATAATATAATATATATATATATATTATTATATATTATAATATATATATTATTATATATTATATATTATATATTATATATTATATATTATATATTTTATATTATATATTACATATTATATATTATATATTATATATTATATATTATATATTATATATTATATATTATATATTATATATATACACACATACTGTACCTTCCAAAACAAAACTCCGTGCGGACAACGCAACTAATCTCAGAGTCTCATCGCCTGAGGCTGTGGAACATTTGTCTCGCTGAACTACTGCTCCAACAGCTTTGAGGTGTGCAGCGGATGTGTCTGAAAAATGGGGGATAGCCGGGATAGCCACAAAATCGTAATTTTTACAAAAATCATGGAAAACCATGAACAACATGGGAGGGATACTGTACCCTATCAAATCCTATCAAGTGAAGTGAAACTGTGAAGATTTTTCAGTCTCTCAGGGCACCATGCGAAGCCAATGCTCTACAGCCTGTGGCTTCCGGTCGTACTGCTGGGAAACCTGGTGAGCCCATCATCGATCCGATCCGATGGTGTGGGATCTAAGGTTTGGCCAGCTGGTGTCCGGTAGATGCAGCCCCAAACGTTTCGAAGCCTGAGCCAGGACAGCCGTGAAAGCCTGTTGATGATGATTTAACCAGCACAAAGTAGAGAATTGACCATACAAATAATACAAGACCAATGTATGGTTTTCTATGGTTTTTGACCATTCATTGTTTTTGGATATACGATGATATCCGATATCCTTGATAAATGTTGGTTGATGATAAACAACGGGCTTGACATGTGTCCTTTTTTTATTGTGGATTACACATAATCCGTTCTCTTGGAATCCCGAAGAAAAACCGACTCCAGGATCTAGGCATACCATCCTTACAAGCTCAAGTCTTTGGGTCACCAGGAAAGTATATTCCAGGTGAAGTTATAAGCTGTAATGAGTGGGGAAAGAGACTCAGGCACCTAGTAATGTGCCTGGTTGAAGAGACTATATCCTCACTGGCAATGGGCCGTGTTGTGAAGCGGTTGAGCTCGGTTGAGCTGACCTGAAAACTGAGTGCCACCGTTGTGCCATTGACAGGCCGATGCGACTGCTATCAAAACAACAGCGTTCGGAGCTCAAAGGGTTCTCCTTTGGATGGCCTTCACGAAGCAGATACTTTACCTGATGTCCCGGACATGAATTTTAGATGTAGGTTCTAGGTGCACAGGCACCAGGAAGCTAGCCTTTTAAAAATTTTAGGCACCAGGTTCCAATCTCAAACATGGTGTTTTTGCCAAATTCCAGTGGTTCATCAGAATTTTCCCATGGTTTTCCCATATTTTTCCTCTAGAAACGTTGCCATTTTTATGGGTGTCCCATGGTATCCCCATGCTCAGACACCGAAACTGCTGACGCTTCGCCAGGCTGAAGTCTTTGAGGCTCCCAACTCTTCAAGTAGCTTGGCTGCGCCATGTTCAGACCCCGGGATGGGTCAAAATTGGGCCAAAGAAGAATGGATGGTTAGTAGCAAAAAAAAGAAAACACATGCAAAAAACACATATGGTATATTGATGTATATTCGGTCTTCACTTTTAACCCACATGTTCTGAGAGTCTCGTGGATTTGAGTTTTGAAGCTGAAGGCATTGTCCGCTTTGAGACGTTGGTGGTGGGCTTTCAGCAGGACCAAGTCACAAAAGCACCAAGTGAAACTCGTTCTGTTCCGCTGCGATAGCCACACTCTGAAAGATCTGAAAGGAGAACTGGACTGCTCTGGAGTCTGGCTTCCAGTTGATGCAGCAACAGCCCATCCTAAGTCGGCGACTGCCACCAATACCTATCAGCAGTCACTGAAGAATGGAGATCAACGACTATGGACATCCAAGATTTGCAGTCCGCTTTATTCTCGAAATTCCAAGCAAATCCTTCCAGCAAAGGTTTTCTGATAATGTTAGCAACAGCCACGGTGCCAAGTACTTATTTGATGTATTCTGATCTTATTAGCTGAAACCTTAGTCCTGCCAGTGTTCTACTTGCAACAGTCAGCCAGACAGAGTGATATTTGAGAAATGACCGAGGCCTTATCTTCGTCAGATCTTCACCCAGATGATCGGCACAACGAGTGGATGCCTTCGCTGTTGTGGTTTGGAATGGTTTGGAATGGTTTGGAAGCCGGGACTGAAAGCAACATGATCTCACAATATCTCGCACTGGCATCAATTGATATCCATGTGACCTCAGGCAGTGGCATGGAGCGTTTCTACAGCTACAAAGGCCGCCTTGCAGGCTCAGCTGCATTGCTGCAGTGAGCTGGAAGCTTTGGAGGAATGGGCCAGGTTTAAATTAAGTTAATATAAATTAAACATTAGGGAAGCCAAGCTATGAATGGAGCCGATTTCTGGAGAGTGCAACATCGGGAACATCTCTTGTTCCAGCCAATCTGCCCAGATGGGGATGCTTGGTCCACGACAGTTTCAGTGATTGGTGTCTTCTTCTCAGACACAACGTTTTGGCGTGTGCTGCAAACCTCGTTGATTATTTCATATTATTTGAATGATTATGAAGGCTACTGCATTTCCCTTTTCTGAGGCATCACGCAGGCCGCCCATTGTCCAACACCCAGATTTGAATCATTTTGAATCAAATGTGGACGTCAACTGTGTAGTTCCAGTTTTTCTGTTCTGACATGACCTGACTATTTGTTTGACTCATTTTGGTGCTGGTTTTGCGGGTTTTGGCTGCGATCAGTAAGCAAAGATAACGTGAGGTTCAGCAGCACTGGCGCAGTGGAACTCTTGCTACGTGGCGAAGCTTCCAGGCGTGGAGTTGACAGCTTTACTGAAGCCGAGGGCCTTGAGAAACAGGATTGACAGTAAAGAGAATACCTCCAAGTTCCAAGTTTCACAAACTTTGAGATGTCCGCAGACGGTCCAGATTTTGGACCAAAATTAAGTCTACGAACATGTGTGTATCTTTCTTGCAGGTATCTCAGAGTAGTTTTACTACCATTGACCATTGCTGATGGCAGACAAACACCCCAACAACAACACCACCACCACCACCACCAACAACAACAACAACAACAACCATTTGTTCATAGAAAAATGGCACCTGCAAAGCCCATCAACGCGTTGGCAACGCTGGAACGTTCAAAAACACATTTGTTTAAACGATAGCTGCAGGAATCTTGTTGCTAGTCTTCAAGTTCTACAATTCTGGGACAAGTCAGATTGCTTCAGCTTTTCATATGTTTTCATCACGACTTGCTATCACAAGGCACCTGTGTTTTCGGCAGGGGCCTCAGCATGCTGTCAGACCATCTTGACCAGGGTGGGATGACAAGCGACAAGGCTTTATGGACCAGCCATACAGCTCAGGTGAAGATGGTGCCTACAGGGAGCACCGTAGTGCCATAGCCGCATACTTTCGCTTTGTCCTGGGAGGTCTTGCAAGTTGCGGAGATCGCTAGATGTTTGCATGTCAAATCATCTCAATTTCATTGCTTCTGCTTCCTTTTTGGAGCTTTGCTTTTGAATGTCTGGGTCTTTCTATGTCTTTCTAGTTTCATGTCTGGTCTACTCTACTGTGGGTTGCAAGACAAGAGCAGATTCCGTCTGTCGGTAGTGGGCTCGAAGTCGCGTGACCAGTGCCAAGGACAGCAGTATATAGCAGTGATGATTCAGTGATGATACGTGTCCCACTTCTCAGGCAGATGATACGCTTCCGGAGACTGTGGTGAGTCAGCAGTGCTTTTGCCGGATGCCCAGACTTCAGCCACAGGTTTTAACATGTTTCAAGATGTTTCAAGAGTTCGGTCCACTTGAAGGCGATGGCATCCAGCCATGCAACACTTGGGCGGCTCAGATGCAAACGGCCGGGAAGCACAAGGGAAAGACCGGCCCGACTCATTGGCTGCACAAAATAAATGGCTAGCAGCTAGCATCTGAAAATGGAGGATCTAATCATATCTAATCCCAAATTATTGCCATATTCTGAGGGGGATGAGGGAAAGCGCTGGTGACGGAAAGCGCTGGAACAGCGCAGGGAGTTGTTGAAGCGAAGCTAAACATGGAAATCAGATTCGCAGGAGGAAGGGGGGCCATTTTTGTGGGGCCCAAAAATGTGTTCGTTGGGCCCTTGCCGCATACAGCAGAGGAGCGTTAGCGGATAAATGGAGCACGTTGCTAAGGGCACGTTTTCAGGCCCCATAAAGAAAAGGTCAGCGAGCTTGGGCCCCACAAAAGACACAGGAATAACATAGAAAACGCAGAGAATAGTAGCTTGATCTATTATGTAGTTTGATGTATTTATCTGATCTATCTAATTTGTGTAATTATGCATCTAGTATCATCTAGTCCAGGTTAAGAATTCAATACATTTAGTAATCAAAAATATCTAGTAGTGATAATATAATACTCTAATAGTCCAATAACCCCCAGCCTAGCCTGACTGCCTACTTAATCTAATCTAATCTACCCGAAATCCCGAAGGGCACATAATTTGGTTTAGTCTAGTCTTGCCTGACTGGCCTACTCTAATCCAATCTATATACTGTAATCTAATCTATTCCTACTCCAATCTAATCTACTCCAAGGGCAAATCATCTAATCCAACAAGAGCAACAACTTGAAAGGAAATCAAAAGTCTAGCCTGATCTAATCTATCTTAATGCAACCTTCTCGAAAGGCAAATGGGAAAACCTGAAAGAACCAGTCACTTTCGTTTCCAAAACGTTGGCTTGAGTGCAGTTGTCTGAGTAGAGACGAGCCTAATGGCAGATGGGGACATATTCTAATCCAAGCTACTCCAAGGGCAAGCAATCGAACACTTGAAACACAATCGAATTTGGTCTAATCTAGTCTAGCCTAGTGCAATCTGCTCGAAGGGCAAGTGGGAAAACCTGAAAGTGGGTTGCATGCAGCTGTCTTAGAAGAGATGAGCCAAATCTTATCTGAAAAGGCAAATGGGGAAGAGCAAAACTTAATCTAGTCTAGTCTAATCTAACCGAAGCTAAATCATTCTAAATCTAAATCTAATCGAGTCTACTCGAAGGGCACATGTTTAAATTCAGTTTAACCAGGGCAAATGGGGCAAATCTAGTCTAGCCCAATGTAATCTAATCTAAGCCAATCGAATCCAATCTAAATCCAATCTTTCAAACAATCTGATCTGATCTAATAAGGGCAAACGGGGAATAGGAAAGCTTAAACGCTAGCAATATAAATTTGTCTAATTAATCCGATTTCATGGGGCTGCACAAGCGCTCATACAAAGCATGGTGAGAGGCATTAGTGGAAATTTGCTATGAATAAACAGCGTGTGGAAATGGAAATTAGATGACGGAAATTTTGACTTGCAGAAAAAATGGGTTAAGTTCATGTTTTGGCTGTTTCGGATTCATTTTGGCCCATCTTGGGTGCTTTTGGGTTGGCATTGCAGAATGTGGGGCTCATGTTGGGCTGTGGGTGTCATCATGGTGTTTTGATATGTTTTGATGGTGTCTCCGTCATGTCGTCTGGGCACTGCGTTTGCGGTCTGTCTCCGGTTTCGTGGTGTTGTGGGTTGTGGGTGTGTTGTGTCTTGGTTCGGCGGGTCGTGATATTGGTGGTATGTCAGTCGTGATTTGGTGGCGTCTTGGTGGAGTGTCGGTGATGTCTTGGTGCAACCCCGCGGTGTATCCGTTTTTGTTGCGCAGGTGCGTCTTAGTGGCGCTTGGGCGGGCATGTATGTGCGTCATGTTGTGTCTGCGAGTTATTTTATTGGTGTTGCGGTGGCGTTTAAGCCGTACTTTTGGTGGTGTATGCGCGGTCTCTTGCTTGTGGGTGTCTTGCTGGTGTTGGCATGGCGTTTTTTGGTTGTGAGTCGGCGGCATGTGAACGCTCATATGGGTGGATATTAGATATTTCAATGGTGTCTTGCATCTGCGCGCACGGACTCGCTACACAATATCAATCCTGCACGCTTGTGGCCCATAGCATCTCCAGCGTTTTCCTGTCCTTACCGGCGGAGCTACATACGGAAAAGGCAGCTTGCGTGGCGTGTCATAAAGTAAACAAGTGCACATCTCATCCGAAACAAAAATCGCAAAACGGCCAGACGACTTTCCATTTTCCAGGGGGATTGTGTTTTTTTTGTGCGGGTCTTCTACTTGACCGAGCGGTCGAAGACTTTTCGCAAGTTATGCAGATCCTCTTGGCAGCCGGCATGCCAAAGTGTTAGTATTGGGATGGTAGTTGCCACCTTAATGTAACTATAGGAGAGGTGAGTTGTTGTGATGCATGGATGGCAGAGCTACTCCATTGATGGACCGAAAGGTGGTTGTGATTTTTGAAGTGATTGCAGAGGTCACCTTGCCCACAACTGCAGGATGCAGTGTGGTGTAGCGAAATGCCATGTAATTGTAGTTGTAGTTGTAGCTGAAGAGCGGTTGTAGTTGTAGTGTAGTTGATGTTGCTGAAGTTGTATGCTGTAGTTGTAGTTTTAGTTGTAGCGTAGTTGAAGTTGTAGTTGTAGTACTTGTAGTGGCTGTAGTGGTTGTGGGAGATGTAGTTGTAGCTGTAGCTGCAGCTGTAGTTGTGTTGTAGTTGTAGTGTAGTTGAAGTTGTAGCGTAGTTGTAGCTGCAGTTGTAGCTGCAGTTGTAGTTGTAGCTGCAGTTGCAGTTGCAGTTGTATTGTAGTTGTTGTAGTAGTTGTAGTTGTAGTAGTTGTAGTTGTCGTTGTTATAGCTGTAGTGTTGTGTACTGGTAATTGTAGTTGAAGTTGTAGTTGATCTAGCCATCTTTCTGTCTATCTTTCTATCTATCCATCTGCAAGCTTGAAAACGAAGCTATTCTGCGATATTTTTTGAAAATTTTAAACTTGACAACATCAAAAACGCAACATTCAGCGAGACTTCCTCAAGTCTTGTTGACGACATCAAAAACGAAGCAATTGTGCGAGACTTCCTTCAAAAATGTAAAGTTGAGAGCAAAGGTGACGGCCTCGCGCCAATTCGTTTTGCGATTTTTCCACTCCTTCTGTCTAAAATACTGCGCCTGCCACGAAAAAGTGATCCGAGGTCATACGAAGTGCTGCACCTGTCACGCAAAATCATCGTAGCAAACCTACAGATCTGATGCTCCAAAATGCAGCCCCTCTCAGGAAATCTGCGGCCTGACCTCCTAACATCCCAGGGGAACATCTCTGGTGGACGTGTCTCTTGTATTGCGCCTGCCACGCAAAACGGCATCTGAACGTCCAAAAGTGGTGCGAACATGTGGTGCGTTTTTGTGTTTTTAGCATGTTGGCTTGGAAATGTGCTTCGCGCCACAACGGCGTGCACTTTTTCGACATCTCGACTTCCAAAAGTGGTAAGAACATGGTGTGTGTTTTGTACATTTTGACTTCGGAACGTGCTTCGCGCCACAACTGCGTGCAATTTTTCGACATGTCAACTGTCAACTTCCAAAAGTGGTCCGAGCATTAGAAATGTGCTTCGCGCCACAACTGCGTGCACTTTTCGACATCTCAACTTCTAGAAGCGCCCTGAAGCTGAGGTGTTTTGCGCATTTTGACTTCGAAACGTGCTTCGCGCAACAACGGCGTGCAATGTTCCATCTCCTATCTGACGACATGGCTCCGCGCCCGCCGCTTTAGCGAGCCTACTTTTCGACCCAGCTGAGCCACAAATCATTGGAAAAACATTGTGTTTTGCGACTTTGCTACCTTTCGCGCACCGCTACCTTTCGCGCACCTGCATCTTCTTTCTTCTCACTCTTTCTCTTCTCTGATCTTCTCTCTTCTGCTCTTCTCTTCTCTGACTTTTCCCACCTCTGCTTTTCCATCTGTCCATATTGTCGGAAGTTTGACTTCTAAACTTCCTTCGATGAACGCTTTCCGTTGTTTGCCGGGCTGGTTTGCAGCGTGCTTGACTTCACCGTGCTTCACGTTGTCCATCGTGCGCTTCAGCATCATCTCATTGCGATGACAGACATTCACGCAGGGGCGCCTTTGAAACAGAGTTTTACAATGTTTTGATGTGGGTTCATGTTAACTCTTCACTCCTTTGTGATTTTTCTCGTGTTCATTCTCGTCCCAACTTTCAAGCTGTTTTGACGTTGGCTACAAGTGTTCAATAATGGACATTCCTTCCCAGCTTTGGAGTTTGCACATGCCGAAATTTATTGGCATGCCTCGGAGGTCTCCCATTCTTTGGAAACGCTCAGTGGATCTGCTTGGAATCCCAGCCGCCACACAATGGCGTGTGGGATTTTGGTTGCTTCCTCGAAGCAAGAACATTTAAGAACACAACATGTCAAAAACAAATACACATAAATCCTAATACAATTCAGTGAATTCAGGTTGATTTTGGCACGGGCAAATCTTTTGAAAGGATCAGATGCATTTCTTCTCCCTGCAGGGCACCACTCGCCGGCTTGACCGTGGGAAAGGGGTGCCGATTGAGGCACCAGACCTTTCGAGGAATTTCCACTAGTTTCCATACCCCAAATTACCCCAAAATGGATGGAATATGTTTATAAGAGAAAATCCTATTAACTTGAGGATGATTTGGGGGATACCCTCAATTTAGGAAACCTTCACTTGTCTTAGCAATTGGCACCGGATTGAACCTTCTCACTGCCAAATAAGTGGATTGATCCGACTTGATGCGTGCAAAGCCTCAACGATACACCAGCCTTTGCTGGACCGCTCCACCACTTTCTACAACATACTCTCTGGAGTTTCGGCAAACCATTCATTCCATGCTGTCAAATATAGTACTTGATGCGACAAGGAAGGACTCCCAGCGAGTGTCCATGTAGAGTAGGAAAAACATGGAAAAACAGGGGGTTTTCTTGAATCCATCCATTTTGCCCTGGTGGCATCAGACCTGGTCGTTCGGATTGCGACAGGCAGCAGGATCCGACCTGGACCTCCCCAATGTGCTGGGACAAGCCCGGAACTCCGGAAAATCTCTGCTTTGAATTTGAAGCAATTCGAAAGCACCATGGCTATTGAGTCCCTAATTTCTTGGTGGATCACTAGTGGATCACTGAGGACATGGGCCTCGCACCCGTCCCACGGAGATTACAGGCTGGCAGAAGCCCTGGATGAGCCCTGGAGAGAGATCTAGAGAACTGAACCAAGACTCTGCGCAGATCTGCGCAGGTGGCAGTCCCATCCACACGGGTGGAAGTGGTTTGGGGCCTGGAGGTGCCAGACGAAATGTTGAGCACTGGACACCGCACTCTGGACGATCGAATGTTAAATGTTACAGAGCATTATAGAATAATAATATAATAATTGTAGGATATTGATGGATATTGTAGAATATCATAGAACATTAGATATACATTTATATCGTTTATATTATACATGCATGCTTATATTATATAAATAAATTTACAGGTAATACAATACCTCAGAAGTGGTAGAAAGATTGGGAATGTTTGTTTTCCATGCTCCCTCTTTGTTGAAATGCCAGGTCCGTCAACTCGGGCCTTTCGATCTGTTCGTGCAGAGTGAGACGGACTGTGCCTACGTCGAAGAATTGGAAAGCTACCCTCTGGTAGTTTAACTTGGCTGGCTGGAAAATCACAATGTTTATTTTAATCCGGGAATCATAAATAAATAGAACTTCCCTGATAAATGGAAGTACCCAAACGAATTGGAGAGTTTGACTGGAACTGGTCGAACTAAATGGGGACAGAAATGGGGGCTTTTCTAGCACTCCATGTTTGACTACAGGAGGGAGGGTAAGACCATGCTTGGTAAGTTTCATCGCAACATGTGACCAAGCTGTGACACATGGAATCAAAACTGTTGGTGTGATGTTTTGATATGTTTCGTGGTTTTGCAAACTCCGGCCGAATGAGGGCCGCATTCATCGAAAACCATTGGGTCTGATGAATGTTGCAGGACCAGCTATGGAGTTTGGTTCGGCACTGAGTTTCTGTAGGTGAAGTGAAGGCTTTCCCTTTGACTTCGGAAAGCTACCCAATTATACCAGCTCTGGTTCACACCGTTCACACCTACCAGGATAGTAGCTTCGACCCAGCAGATCCCTGGGTGCAGCGGCCTGGGGCTCTCAGCATTAAAAAAAAGAGCTGTGACTTTCAGCCAGGGGTTGCCCTGATGGGCCCTGCTAAGGTCAATCATGCAAGTGCCGGAGAGTGCACCGGAGGTGGGGTGTGCAAAAATGTTCAAAAAGGTCTGAGGAAATCGGTGTGGTACACCCAAGGCAGGAATATGTAGTACTGTACCTGTACCACACCTCCCTTTTTATATCGTTTTTATGGTGGTTTTTGAATCCCCCCAAATGGTTCCAAGCGGGGAAAACGGGGTGTACCTTGCTTGACTCCAGTGGCTCCAGGATCTCAGGGTCATCAGCACCTCCACCTTCATCCAGGCCAGCTCACCTGTTGGTTCAAGGGAAAATCTGCAGGCAGCCCTGACTTTTGATGTGTAAAAACATGGTTTCCCACAGCCAGGCCTTTGAGCAATGGCTTGTGGGGCAAGGTTTAGAGTCGCGCAGCCCAGGGTGAGATTTAGTTGCGCTTGGGTAGTTTGGGGTTGGAGGCCTCTTAGACTTCCAGAACCACTACTGTACTTCGCAGGGTCATGGCACATCAACATGTCAAGTCTGCAAGTTTGGGTTCTGCGGTACATTTTCAAGCCTTGTTTTCACGTCCATCCAAAGAAATTTGCAAGGATAAAGCCCGCCAAATACTGCATAACCCCAGACATTAAGATGATCGGAACCTGGCCCCATGAATAGATGGGATAGTGACGATAGATGATACATGATGATAAGATATGATAAGAATTTTGACCCTACCTGAAGTCTCATCAAAATCCAAGCCTGCGCTCCATGGAGGGTTCTTGGCTGATTTGGCCCAGGTTTCCAGCCAGACATTTTCACAGCAGCGCGAAGTCTTTCCTGGAAGCTTCTGGCAACGCCTTTCCTGTGTCAGTCTTGAGGCGGACACAAATTCGCTGATGGATGACCGTTTGCCCGTTTTTCTTGAAGCCAAGCATCCAAATATATCCAAATGAATCCAAATGACACAATCAGCCTCTTTCTTTCAGATTTAGAGACAGTTTGTGACAATTTCTCAGAGCATGACTGCTTGAGTGTATGAACCAGGCACATAACAATGTCGGTTTGCTGCATGGACTGTCTGGACTATTCTGGACTGCAGGGATGAGAACGACATTGTGAAGGCGCTCAAACTGGAGTTCCGAATCGTGCGCGGTCCCAGATGCCAAGGTACGCCAAGATACGGCACATCATCGGGTGTTGCATGGGCAGCGCGAGCGTTGTGCTTGCAGTCGATGCTGAGACCAACCGATTCCAGATTGTTTGGAATCGTTTGACGTGGGGTGGCTGGTCATTAGGGTGCATGGCATGTCGGACATGGTTTAAAGTTTAAAGGTACCATACTCACTTGGGTCTGTTGTTGTGCATTTCTTGGCTGCAACTCTGCTCTGCCCGGTGATGATGGAAAACCATGTCCAATTCCTGAGTGCTTCTGATGAGTTGCAATCACATGCTCAAACTGAGGGTGGTGCAGAGTGAGTTTGTTGGTTTGAATTGCTGTGGAGATTGGTTGTCGATCAACTCCTGGACTGTTCATGGAGCAGTCCTTTTACATTCGTCCAGTGGTCACGAAAATGGTACATGAAAGGAAGTGCGCTGGGAATGTGTGAGCTGGGTATTGTTTGGTAAATGGTTGCACATGGTTGCCAGTGTGGCGAACGACCTTGCCCTGTGAGGATGGAAACCATGTCCAATTCCTGAGTGCTTATGATCGAATTACAATTACATCAAAACTGAGGGCATTTCTATTCTTTGCTGCTTTGGATGTGCTTTACTCCTCCTTTCAGTGTGCTTGCCTATTGAAGGCATTTCAAAAAACACCTTGTAAGTAGGAATGTGGAGTCAAAAGCTAACAGTTGGTTGATGATTACAGGCCTACCCTTAGGTTACTTGATGGATAATCAGAATCCATGGGAAACGGTATGAACCAACCCACCTGAGGCGCTGACATCAGCAAACGACTTGTCCACAACAATTGCAGGGACCCTTGGAATCGCAGAATCGGCAGAATGTGACTGCCTTGATGGGGAAGTTACATTTTGACAGGACTCTGGGTATTTGTGAGATAGTAGAAGCGCATATATAATCAAGAATGGCTGGATGACAATGACAATGCATGTATTCTGAGCTCCTTTGCCCTTTGATCTCTGAGAAAACAGGCAATTCCAAAAAATCTCCACGATTTTATCATATTTTATCTATGTTTCTTGATTCTTTGATTTTCTTTGTTTCATTTTGAGGCTGTCAAAACCGCGTGGGAGAATTACATCCAGCAACAGAATGATCTGTCGGGCCTCGGGGCCAATAAGGCGTGGTGGCTTCGGGGAAAAACGCCCGCCAGGGCCCACCTGGATGACTTGACAAGCTGAGGGTTTCACAGCCGATCCCTGCAGGCATTCCAGGTGTCCTCCCTTTGGGTCAATGTTGAAGCGCAGGATGGTGCAACACTCAGTGCATCTGCAGTTGAGGATCCTCGGAGCATCTTGCCTTGCTCAACTTCAAAAACTGTGCCAGATATGACATGGTGACTAGGACGAATTGGTTGGAACATGTTGGAACTTCACAATAATCTTCCCAATTCCAAGCATGCAAGCTGAAAAGGCTTAACTGGCTTAACTGCTGTATAGAAATGTTCATTTTGTTCCACTTGCAAGTGCTACCAGTGGTTCTGTAGTGCCCCTTCTCTCATCCAACCAGCCTGGCCCTGGGCTGAGGTATCATCAGGAGCACAGTGACCACCATCACTTCGGCCATTTTCATTGGCTACCTGGCGGCCGTAATCTTCACGCAGGACGAGCCGTAGCGAAGGGAATGATAAACATCGGATTCAGAATCAAAGCGTGGGGACCCTGGTTCAGCATCCTTGGATAAAGACATTCAGGAAGCCTATTCAAGAATCCCACAGAATGTTTGCTAAAATGTGATCCTGAGGTTTTCCCACTATTTTCATTCAGACCAACTTCATGCCGCTTTTTAAGCCGTGTGACACAAACAATCTTAAAGCATCTTAAAGCATTTGTCCTTTCGAAAGGTTTGACACCGAGAGGGTGCGAGTTGTTGGGAGCTGTTGGCAGGACCTTGTCCTGTTCGGCTCCCTGGCTGCTGTCTTCAGTGATGCCATGGATTGGAATAGCTGAGTAGCGGTGATTTCACAGACACGGTCAGACACGGTCCAGGTCCTTGTTCCCAATGTTGAGCGTTGGCTTGACGGTGCTTTGCCTCTTGCCAAGACCCTAATGAGCACTAATGAATCCAATGGAACATCTTACCTGCGTAGCATAGCACATTTCATAGATTTTCATAGCACAATTTACTTGGGACTGGGTACATACTGTGTACATACCCAGGTTCATGATGGTGGGAGTTCTACAGTGGCCATTTGGACCCGTGGATGTGATTTCCCTGATTGTCGCTTGGCGGCGAAGTGCGACGAATAAACAGTTGACAGTGGCGTTGATACCAATGGATGACCAAAAAACCGGCAACGGGAAGGCAGTTTTTTCATGAAGCGCTTGGCTGAGGTGTTCCTCGGCTATATGTTCACCTTCAACCTGCATGTGGCCGCTCACTCAAACCACTGAGACAGGCACATCATGGGTTGTATCGGCAAAATGACTAAGGCGCAGTACTACAACCATGTCAGGGTCCTCAGTTTCTTCTGCATTACAACTAAAACTTGGTGCTTCGTATCTCTGACAAGCTCCAAGGCCGAAGTAGCCTTGGACCTTGATGAGGCTGAAACATGCTGAAACTGAAAGCATCTGAAAGCTGCAGGGAACCTGAAAGCCTCCTGGCATGCGGCAGGACGGAACCATAGATCCTGCTGATGAAGCCGAAAGAAAGCAGGAAGAGCGCTATTGTCAGAGTCTGAGCCGCTTTCAACTTATTCTTTGAAGGTGTGTGCTTGAAATGATCACTGTTGGTGCTTGGACTTACAGTACTCCTATTTGAAGCTTTAGTTGTATTGTGTCCCCCACAGCACAGAGGAGACTTTCCAGGCACTTGCGACGTGAGAGAAGAGCTATTGCTCAAGTGTAGGCGCTGAAAGGAAAGACATCTTTCCACATCTTTCCATGTCTTCCCCCTATGCTGACCAGCTCAAACTCGGTCCAAGCCTTTGGCAATATGTTTGTTGGATTTTTTTTGTGGCTTGACAGCCATGTGCCGTTTCCTTGCGTGGTCCACCATTCTTGGCCTTTTCTCTCTGGCTATACTTGCCAGAAGGCACAAATGGTGGGACGGGCGGCACGGTCACTTGCCAGACTCATGAGTGTGATGTCAAGAACTTCGCAGGATGGACTAGATGATCTAGATGCCTGGCCACACATTTGTGGGACACTGGCTTCAGATTAAGGCCAGTGGAGTGCAGGAGGCGAGGACAAGGGCAGTCCTGGCAACTTCTACGAGTGTCGGTCAGTGTGACCAACTCCGCAGTTCCTCGTGATGCCATCCTTTTGCGACGATGTCAAACACGGCAAGTGGAGAGGAAGTACAAAGCAGAGCTACTTTGTGGGTCACAAGCCACCGGCCAAGTAGCCCAATGAGTGGACTTGTGGCTGCGTCAGCAAGGACCGTTTGTGCTAGATTGGGGGCGGCGTTCGGATGGTGTCGAGTTTCATGAAAAACTTAACATTTGAAAGCCGCCCCAATCCAGCATACAGATAGCTACAGATAGCTACAGTATTTTGGCGTCGACTAATTGGGGGATTCCCAGGCTTTGATCCATAGCCATGTGTGAAGCAGGGAACTGAGATTGAGATTCTGCAGATGCTGCAGACTCTCCTGCCGGCGCTTTGAAGGAAAAAAGGCACTTTGTTAAGCTACCTCTGTGCTGCAGATCAGGCCAACGGTTTTTCTAGTGCTTTACATTGGCGTGACCACAATGCGTTCCTAAGGTCGGGTAAACCATGCCCTTGCTTCTGTTGGTCAAAGTTTGATATTTTCAGCCTGGGACTTAGTGTTCTTTGTTGATTATAGTTCCTCGTTCACACGAACCTGGATATGCCCGCCACCTGCAAGATGGGCCCAGTGCCACAGGAACTTGTGGGAACAGGATACGGTCGCCATAGTCATCTCAAAATTCAGACTGTTGGGATCCTTTTGGGGTTCCCCCATTTGGACCGTGGCTTAGGCGGGAACAACCACAGCCTCCGCCATCTTCCTCCTGTGTTGCGTGTTGCAATTCTTTGTGAAGTGCTGTGCTAAGATCTGCCGCTGAGACAAGACCAGCTGTTCATCTCCCACATGCGGAACACAGACTACTACTAGAAAAAAACTAGAAGTGTTTCGAACTCCAGAACCATCTGACGTTATTATTATCTTCCATGTTATTTCGCTAGAGATACCATAAATGTGGATGATAAGCTAGTGGCTATCAGCATCTCCAGGTTTGGTGCAGTGATCCTTTCAGTCACGGTTCTGTCTATTTTGCCGAGCCCTCAAGGGCTGCTCCGCCGGTGACTGGTATGGCAATGTTTTTCTATGAATGGTATGATTATTTATTATGTATTCATATGTATTCATCATATTAAATGGATTTAAATGGTATGTCCTTTGTCATGGTAATACAATGTAATACATCCATCCATACATACATACATGCATGCATGCATACATACGTACATGCATGCATGCATGCATGCATGCATGCATGCATACCTACATACCTACATACCTACATACCTACATACCTACATACCTACATACCTACATACCTACATACCTACATACCTACATACATACCTACATACCTACATACCTACATGCCTACATGCCTACATGCCTACATGCCTACATGCCTACATGCCTACATGCCTACATGCATACATGCATACATGCATACATGCATACATGCATACATGCATACATGCAGACATGCAGACATGCAGACATGCACACATGCACACATGCACACATGCACACATGCACACATGCACACATGCACACATGCACACATGCACACATGCACACATGCATCCATCCATCCATGCATGCATGCATGCATGCATGCATACATGCATACATGCATACATGCATACATGCATACATGCATCCATACATGCATGCATGCATGCATGCATGCATGCATACATGCATGCATACATGCATACATGCATACATGCATGCATGCATGCATGCATGCATGCATACATACATACATACATAGATACATAGATACATAGATACATAGATACATAGAATATGTACGGTTCTGAATCTGTACAGGTATAACATCGTGGCAAATATATTGCCTTCACTCCAAGGCATTCATTGATATTTCTACCAGCTCTACTCTTGGCCTGGCCCTTTGTGCATTGGGTAGTTGTCATCTATTGTCATCTCAGCAACCAGCAACTGGACAAGATATCCACTTTGGCATAGCCCCTGCCTTGATCTGTAACAGCTTGGATGACATCCACACTGCAAGCGCTCTCCTCTAGAATCTTGGGCTGAGATCTGTGGGCCTACGTCAAAGTCCTGTATGTGCTTGAAGAAAGTCTGCCGCAAGCTTCGAACCTTGGAATTGAATTGGGAACAACTGTTCAATTAAGATGGGCTGGGCCCAATTTGGCATAGCAGATACAAAAGGCACCCGCTGTTCAGTACCCTCTCTGGGGTCGGGCTCAGGACAGAAGGTGGCTCCTGCAGAGGTGTGCAACTGCTGCGTCTGATCATAGGCGTTCACGTTATCCACATCCTAAGGTTGTCATCGTTCATCATCGTTCTTGTACATGGAGAATCATAGAGAGCAGGTCCATGTCTTCTTTACTCAATCGATTTAGGCGGTTGAGCCTGAGCCTGCTCAGGGAAGCTTGGCTGCATTGGCAAAGCACGCTTGGACTTTGGAATGTCATTTGAATTGTAGTCGTACTAGCTGCGGCTGCGCTTTCCAAGCTGACAGAAAACTTGATGGATCAAAGATCAAAGCTGCCACGTTTGTGAAGAGAAGTAGTAAAGATATGATCCTGCATGATCCTGCTATGACTACTGGAGATTGTAAGAAAGACATGCTCCGATAAGACAGGAATTACAAAGTCCAGAGTGCTCTGGCGGCCTTAAGGTTTGCCTTTCTTTTGCCAGGTGAAACAGAGGAATGCATGAGTCCTCCGCAGGATGCTTAGGCAACCCGGATGTAGGCCACATTGGTAATTTCATGGCCAGCATTGAATTAGGTGGGTTTCAAAAAAGGATAGCCTTAAAATCCCCTAAATCCAGTGATCAATCATGATTCTCCCGATGAACAGGATTAGACACCGGTCACCACTGAGGGTATCCCCCCACTGCCAGACCCAATCGCTCAAGGCCCTTACCACCTCCAGCTGTCAGGCACATGGCATGGGCAATGAAACACCCAACTTGGGTGACCATCCCATTGGAAATACCATGATAATCATGAATTAATCATGATAGTTCATTATAATTTGTTCTGCGCGTTTTTGGACACATTCTTGGGAGGCCAGATGCGGAGCCTGTTGGAGGCACAGAACCGGCGAGCCCTTTGAACAGCGCCCTGGTGGCCCTTGTGGCCCGGTAGTGGGTAGTGGGGAAATCATGGCAGGGTGGGTCAAGGCCAAGGCAACCTGAAGAGGGAAGCCTTTGTTTGTGCTCTCCTACTTCTCGTTGCGAAGATACCATTTCTTTTTTGTCCAACATTGGCACTCCACTCCAAACATCTGAAAAGACCAATCATTCAACAGAGGACTGCAATAGATGAGATGTTCATCAGCCCAACCTGGTCTTGTGTGTTTACCATGTTTACCTCAGCCCGAATCTAAGGCTACATACGACAAATGGATAGCCATGAAGAGGAGGTCTGACCAGTCAGAATTGGTTGCTTTGGCGAAGCCAAGCCACCATGGATTTCTCATTGGCCCAATCAGAACACAAACCTATCAATTTGAGAAGGTGAGAAGTCCTGGTTGAAATCCCTCTTGTATACATAAAATCTTCGAAATTCCCAGTTCCAAAGCCCACCAGAGGTTTTTCTTTGGACGCATGGGATATGAAATGTCCGCATGCATTTTGGTTGTGAAGCATCGGAATTGCGGTCTTGGAATCAAGAAGAGCCAATTCAAGTGGAAGCGAGCAGTGCAAAGTCGAAGACTTCTGCTGCTTTTGCCTCGCTGCCGTATTTTGCCTGGCTGATGTCAGTGACTGTGGAAAACTGCTGAGAATGATTCAGTTGGCGGTGCAGGGAAGCGGTGCAGGGAAGCGATGACTTCAGCTGCCGCAAGTTGTCTGATGGACAGATTCTTCAGAGCATCACTGGAGTGCAGCTGTCAAGCGACCAAGATGTTGTAACATGCCACGGTTGAAAAGAGTCAAAATTCAAAAACATATCTTTAGACAATCATGTAACCATGTACTTTAGACAAGCCTTTTTTACTGGAACATCAGATGCGATCCCGGCTCCAATGTGTAGGATCATAAGCCATCTTGGCTTTACGATCTTTATATTAATCTTTATGGCTTTGGGATGAAGCTTCAGCAATTCAGACCATTTGTAGATTGATTTCTGATGATTTCTGTGTGAGGGCCATGCCATGCCAGCTGCAACTGGCTCAGTATTGCGATGCAGATCGTCCATGATCGTCCTAAGTTACATCCAGATCAATCCCGGCATCCAAGGCGGCTGCAAAGGGGACAAAGGTCTATGCCTTTTTGACCTTCCACGTGAGGTGTGGAAATGTGGATCCTCCGTTTACTCATGTTTATTCTATTTATATCCATTTGTTCAGTTTATATAAATAGTGTTAATTGTTCCCATCGCATCCAACGTCGCCCGCGCCAGGACGGGTAGATTAGCAGCCTTTTGTGATGCCTGTGCAGAACTCCTCAGCGCTTCAACCAATGATGTTGGGCGTGTGAGGTGCCTTGCACAGTCATGATGTGCTCTAAATTTACTAAATGAAAGTCTCTTCATTTGTTCAGCTCCACTTTGCATGACGCAGGATAGCGCTTCATCGAGAATTGCCATGGGCTCGGTCTATGTCAAACGAGGATCGGTAGTGGTGTGCGGTCCCATTGTGTGTCGACATCATCACTAGCAGCAAATCCCTTCTGTCGCCACAAAGCCGTTGCTCAGGTCATTCCAGAAAGGTAGAATCAGAATAATTACTTGAGATTCTACGTATAATTTATGATAATGGCATAATTTATATAATACATTACGAGAAACTTTGATATTATGCTATTTGTAGGCTTTTGTAGGAATAAACAATAAATACCAGGGGCAGGGCCGAGAAACTTGGCTCTTGCTGACACTTTGCCTTGTGATTGTTGTGATTTGCATAGAATAGTTGGGCCATATGGCCATATTCAAGACTGACTACCTGAAAGATATTTATTACCCCATCTCAAAGATACTTTTTGGGAAAGTGGTGGGCACATTCTGATCAGTGCTTGATTATCGGCAAGGAGTTTACCCTTTTCATGATGGAGCAGGCTGGCTCCGTTTTTGCTGAGCCGCAACATGCTGAACCCCCCTACATTTAGCATGCAAAATTCTTCCTGATCCCTCCCATGTTTAAAAATGTTCAAAACATAATAGTGAAACACCGAGCAATTCGTGATATGCTAGCCACTAGTACTTGTGTAGATTTTGAGAAAACAACAGCTAACAACAGCTACACAAGTAGGTGGGAGGCTAAATGGTTCCAGTTGTTTCTTCGAATACTGCTGTTCACAAAGGCGAGGAAAGTGGCAACTGGTATTCAACATCTGAGAATGAGTTTGGCGGCGAACCAGGCACATTTTCTTAAGGTCATTGATAGGCGACCATAAACGACTATAGGACCATAGGATGTAACTTCTGAAGCCTCTGGTTTTGACCGATGGCAGACTTGGGCATGTGGTGCTGACTTGGAAAAGCATACCTGCCCTGTGCCCAGACGGCGATCTTAAACTATGTGAAAAACTGTAGAATTTGTTCGACTGCGAAGTCTGGAGTGTTCGAGGTTTGGGGTTTCCGGGTTTCCTTCAAACACTGCAGTTCCCTGTTCGTCCTCTGAAATATTAGGAGACTTTGTCTTCAAAGACCCAGGTTCTCCACATGCC